ATCGGTCAAGTGTATCACAACATGGGTGACTACTCGAAAGCACTTGAATATTTCAAAAAGTCACAAAAAATCTTCATGGAAACGCTGCCTGCGAATCACTCTAATTTGGGTTATCCATACAACTGGTTTGGGAAAATTTATCGCAATATGAAAGATTATCCAAAAGCACTTGAGAATTTCGAAAAATGTCTCTCAATATGGCAAAAAGCCTTACCTGAAAATCATCCGGATATAGCTTTTGCATTTAGTAATATTGGTGATGTTCATCGATTAATGGGTAATTATGAAAAGGCACTTGCATTTCATGAAAAAGCATTAAATATTCAAGAGAATGTTCAATGTGATCCTAAGGACTGTGCAACGACATATATAAATTTAGGTGAAACTTATCGTGAAATGAAAGATTATTCAACAGCATTGACATATTTCGAAAAAGGATTAGAAATACGTGAAAAGAAATTACCAAAAAATCATCCTGATTTAGCTGTTATATATCATAATATGGCAAAATTATATTTGGCTACACGAAAATATAGTATGGCAATGAAAAATATTCAACAAGCAGTTGAAATAGCTCAAGAAAAATTATCTTCAACTCATCCTCATCTTTTGGAATATAAAGAAACATTTGAAAAAGTTCGAATGAAAATGTAATTCATTATTTTTTTTTTGGCTTACTTGCTCAATAAATTGGTTTTGATTCCTTTTCACTTCCCGACTTTTCTAGGCTCATTTTCGCGCGTACGCGCGCGCGCGACCAGGGAGAGGCCCTATGCGTATGAAACGGGTACACACAGAGCGGACCACGCCGGACTGGTAGGGCAATGTACATAGGTGTACCGTACATAATGACGGCAGGGACCTACGTACATTAAAGGCCTTCCCGAGCACTACACTGCTTTCGCCATTCCATGACGAATAGAATCTCTCTCTGGATCAGGTTACGAAGCCACCTGACAAGGCTGTGATATAAATTGGTATCTATCTTCTAACATAAATAACATAGACTTAACATAATAATAATAGTATACACTAAATGTGTACAACAACGAAGAAAAAAATTATTTCATCCGAAATAAATCATCTATATCTCATTCTAACATTATCTCAATGTAAGTATTATTATGAAAATTTAATTTAGAATTGTTCTTTCAAGAAAACAAAACAAAAATTTTTTTTTTATCGTTCAACTATTAATTTATTTGTTCAAGTCGTTCTCAAGATAAATAAGATCATTTTTGAAGCAACATACCCAATCTTGTTATTGGTATAAATCAATAATAAATCATATTCTTTTTTAACATTCTCATGTTTTTTATAATTTCATATAATTCATAAAAAAACACAGATGAATTCTAAAAACATCATAGAATAAATTTCTATCATAAATCAATATATCCTAACATATATTATCATTGTAATCAAAAACATTGTAAAAAAATATGAATCATAATATAACATCATTGAATGAATGAATGAATTTCATTATAATATAATGCATCTTTATATAATATCATTCAATAAATATCATTGTCAGTAATGAATTTAACAACATATAATAAATTTCATTGTAAATTAATATATTTTTATATAATATCGTTCAATAAATATTATGGTGAATTCATGCATTTTAACATAATATTATACAATAAGTTTCATTGTAAATCAAAACATTTTAATCCATTATGAAATTGATAAAATTTCATTGTAATATAATGCATTTATTGAATTGTACAGAAATGAGTTTTAATAACATCCACCCCTAGATTTCGTTCTAAAAAAATGCATCATTATATAATATCGATCAATAAATATCATCGGAAATTAATGTATTTTAATTCTTTGCGTCCCAAATTATTTCTGCTGGACACTGACACGTCCAGATAAAGACCAACATGCTCGCATACGGATTCACGTGCGTACACCTACACACCCATATCTACAAACTCGATACCCACCACATCCACACCGTTGAACATTCTTTATTGCTACATTCCAGTAAATTACATAATAATTATTAAACATGTTTAGATTCCTTTTTCCTACTATAGAATTCAAAGGTTTAACATAACATTACGTAACAAATTTCATTATTAATGTATACATTTCCATACATTATAAACTCATACGTAGCATTGTAAATAATTATAAATTGATAACTGTATGTCATTCATGAAAAATCATAATGTAAAATAATACTAATTATTGTAAGTAATATAAAAAATTGTAAACCGTGAAAAATAAATCATTTGAGTGTCATGTTTTATCTTTATTGAGCATGCTCATGATTTGTTCGATCGAATCGTATGAGAATACTGGCGAAAATGTATTTCATATATATATATGTTTTTAAACATACATTGCAAATCAAAGACATTCTAACGATGTTGATATCAATTTGACGAACGATAATTGACGATGATGTGCACATTCGAATGTAATTGATTTGATTAATCATCACATGATTAATTGAAATGATGAGACACGAATTAATTTCATCGTTTTTCATGTGCATGGATGTGAATACTTGTCCTATGTTCATATACAGTCCTTCGTGGACAATACATATTCTTTTCTTTCTTTTTTTTGGATCAGAAGAAATTTCTATTCATCATCATCATCATCATCATCATCATCGAAAAAACAAAAGCAATTAATTTGAATCATAAATCATAGAATTATTTTTTAGTACGACTTTTGAAAATTGATTAGAGTGCATTATTCAAATGAACATATTCATTTTCTTGGAAACACAAGATCAACAAGTCTGTTGAGTACGACTGCACTGTCATTATATGAAAACTCGTGAAGACAAAGTCAAATAACTGTACAGAAAATTAAAAAGTTTTCATAAAATTTGATTTCTATCCCATCGAATGAATATTTCCGTTGAAATCAAGTCACTAATATCGAATTGGAACTTTTTAACGAGTATTATTATCAATTGAAACAAAATCTGTTATTAAGAAAAAAAATTGAAAATAAAAATCACTTCAATACGTTTACTTGAAGATAAATTTCCATTTTACATGATTGATTTGCTGATATATAATCAATTTTTCAGTTGAATATTGATGGTAGTAAATAAAATATACATATATGATTCAATCTGAACAAACACTATCAGTAGCACATGACTTATTTTCTGTCAAAAACCAATTTTTGTTTTCGTCGATATTATTATTTTTATTGTACTCGAAAAATACCTAAGGAGCGAGCTCTTATCGTTCGATTCCTGTGAACATATTTTTGACTTCAAAAATTAAGAACTATTCTCTCAAAATGTTTCGTCGATACATGGGATTAGTAGATGAAAGTCCTACAATTGAAAACTTCTTTGCTACTAAACTGAAAGAGGAATGATTTTCTTTAGAAAAACAATTTAAAATTAAGGAGTTGGTTTTTACTTTTGAATAAGTAATATTGTTATTCATCCATCAGATACATTAATTCGATCATAGGGTTTCTATCATGTTGTTTGTTCTTGTTCATATGTAATTATTATTGATGGATATGAAGCAACAGATCGATTTTAAAATTTTCTTTTGTTTTCCTAGTAGATAAGAGTTTTTACTGTCTACCTTGTTTTTCTATTATTAATAAATGATTACTCAAGTTTTTGCACAAAGAATGAAAAAATAACTTTAATGTTGTTTTTTCAGATCCATGTAAATGAATAAAATTTCATATTCCAAATGAAAATCATGTTTTTTATATATTTAAATAAATCAACGATAAAATTAAATATAGCTAAATTAGTCATTTACAAAAATTCATATAAACAATCATTTAACTTAGACTACTATCCGTTCATATAAAACTATAAGTGATTAGTTTTTAGGTCTTGAGGCCTAGCATCGTTGACAATTTTCTTACCATATGAACTAACTTCCAGCTAGAGTCGAGTTTGTTACACAAGTTAGAATTTCATTTAATTACGTTGACGGTTGCCGTATCATTCGTGCAGATCAATAATCAACGCCAGGAAAGAAAACTTCTATTGATTTTGGAGAAATCAGAAAAAAATTATATCATAAAACAAAAAAAAAACAAATCTTGATTACATACTACTTTCGTCTGTTATAAATATAACCGATTGACTATATGGATATCCTTTATCAATAGAATCTAATGAATCACAACGAATTCTAGCAAATGTTCCATCTATTGAATCAATTCCAATATTTGCTGATAATAAATTATTAAATAATAATTCTGTTTTTAATGATTGAATTCTATTCATTGGTTGTAACAGACGAGAATATTTCATTTTAAAGAACTTTGTCAGAACAGATAACAAAGGTTCAATAGATAAAGCCATCTATACCATTTTCTAGAGCAACTCGTGACGTATCAAATAGTAATATTCTGGTCAGTCATATACCAATTATGGAATGTTACAGGATTGGTCACTTTTGTCCTCAGCAACAACATTCAAGAATTCAAAAACTTCATTAAAATCAAAAACTACAGATCCCAGTAAAAATATTAAGATTTTGAATAGGAAAAAAGCTATTTGTCAAAATTATTAGATATACACGATTGAAAAACTATATAAGATATTTATTTTATATATCTTAACTGACCAAGTGTGATTGGAAAGTTTTTATACGACATGTTTGTTCATTTTTGTCCCACTAGAAAGGATTTCCAACGCGACATTCTTGCCAAATATGAACTTAGAAATTTCGTTTCAATTTTTACATTTTCACTATTATAATTTGAACCTAAACGTTGGAATCTTTATTTAGATATTCCCTTGTAATCTACTTTTTCACTGAAAATCACGTTATTTTGAAAGCATCTATTCTACAAAAACGGTATAGATGGTCAACTAACGTTTGTATTTGATAAAGTCTATTATGGAAAAATAATATTGATTGTTCAATAATTATTAAAAGACTAGAAAATATTTAATTGAAATTTTTTCTTTTAATTTTAAGAGAATTATTTTCTTATTTATTTGAATATTTTGCCTATTGTAAATAATAACTTCTCATTTGGATTTAAACAATATATCGTAAAATATTTTTTTCTACTAGTATAACTAGGTGAAAATTTTGTTGTTACAGAATGTTTTAAATCAAAGCCTTTTCTAATTTTTGCTGATAAACTGTTCATTTTTTTGGTATGTTTTTAAATTAGGTTCGATTTCAATTATTGAACTATCAATCAAATTCGATCGTGTGTTATTCATTTTAATACCATTTGACTTCATAGTCGATTAAATAACCATTGATGTCAAATAGTTATTGCCAATTTATGTTAAATTTTCTAGTTGATCAGGAATTTGGAAGAAAATAATTTTATCACAAGAAAAGAATAATGAATACAATTTCTATATGAGCCTATTTGAAAAAGCAAATATTTAGCAAAGAGAAAAAAATCAACTATGTGCTTGAATCTTGAAAGATGTAAGGTAAAATTGTGGTGAACTTAGTGCATTATGAACACTATCATGAGCTATCTTCTTTAGATTCATTTTACTAATACGAAACACATAAACTTAAGAATTTATCTTCAAGGATAATCAACTAGCAGCAAAATATTCAATCTTTACTTATTTAGTATTGCGACTGCAGATATATTTTGTTATGAACTTTTTAACAATTTGACAAATTTCCTTTATGTATATATTCGTTTGATATATTCAT